TCCAAATTTGGACATTTGGCAACTGGCACATATTTATGACGGTTGGGATCATGTGATCCCCTTTCGCGAGCTTCTGACAAGCAGTCAATGGGAAAGGCCAGATTCACTTAAAAACCATGTGACTAATTTATCCACGGCAGTGACTCACTTAACAACAGCGGCAAAAAAAAAAGGTCACAAAATGGGGCAAAACTCACCGTCACAGATGTCTCGCTGAGACACAGGAGTCTGGGGCTCAATTGTGGTCGGAAGTCGAGGAGTGCCTGCGTACGGAATATATATTTTTTTTTACCTCAAATGCGACTTCAAAGGAAGCACCAGGTTCAAAGGTTCCTATTTTGTTCCCCCCCTGAAGCTCCTTTAATCCTTCGCTCCTTTCCTTAAATGAAGACCATTTTTCTGGTCCGTGACACTTTTATTTACCTCAGCCATGCCGCTGTTTCAAAAGTGACAGATGAAGGGTTAGGAAGCATCTGTAAAAGAAAAAGGGGGGGAAAAAAGAAAGAGAGGGCGAAGACTGAGATGGATCTCTCGGAGAGAAGAAGGGGAAAAAAAGAAAAAGAAATCTATCGCAGAGGATAATGAATGGAAAATGCAGCGGCAAGAACAGGGTCTCTGCTTACCCCATTAATTTTGTCATCTTGGCAAAGAAAGCCCCTGATGTGTGAACGTCTCATAATTGTTTCCTTTATTGGTGGCTTCCAAGGCCAGGTCCGTGAGGATCGAGAGAGTTATTTCATCAGTTTAATTATTTGGCATGTCATCGAGAGCGAGGAGGGGGTAAAAGGCGGCGGGGGGGAAGGGGGCACCCCCCGCCAGAAAATAAAGGAGTTGCTGAAATTATATCTTGGCCTTCTCTCAAAGCAGCATTGATCAAACTCTGGGGTTTGATGTTGGGAGTAAATGGAAGCAGATTCTGAAAACAACGTTTTGGGACCTTAGCAACGTGGAGGTGGTCGGAGGGATTCTTCTGGAAAAATCTGCCCTTGATATCCGTAATGAACGTAACATTAAACGGGGGGGGGGAAATCCACTCTGATTAAGACTGTTTTTTTTTCCACTTATTTTTAAAGCATTCATTTTCCTTCCTTCCTTCCTTCCTTCCTTCCTTCCTTCCTTCCTTCCTTCTCTCCTTCTCTTCCTTCCCTTCTCTCTCTCATTCCTTCATCTCCCTTTCTCCTTTCCTTCCTTCTTTCCTTCCCTCCTTTCTCTTCCTCCTTTTTCCTCCTCTCCCTTTTCCTTTTCCTTCCTTCCTTCCTCTCCCCTTTCTTCCTCTCCCTTCCTCTCTTGTTCCTTCTGCCCTTCTTTCTCCTCCTTCCTTCCTTCTCTCCCTTTCCTTCCTTCCTTCCTTCCTTCCTTCCTCTCCCTTCCTCTCTTTCCTTCCTTCCCTCTCCTCTCCTTCCTTCCTTCCTCTCCTTTCCTTCTTCCTTCCACTCCCTTCCTCTCTTCCTTCCTCTCCCTCCTCCTCCCTCCTTCCTTCCTTCCTCTCCCTTTCTCCTTCCTTCTTCCTCTCCCTTCCTCTCTTCCTTGCCCTCTCCCTTTCTCCTTTCCTCCTTCCTTCCTTCCTCTCCCTTTCCCCTTTCCTTCCTTCCTCTCCCTTCCTCTCTTGTTCCTTCTCCTCTCCCTCTCCCTCTCCTTCCTCCCTCTTCCTTCCTCTCCCTCCTTCCTTCTTCCTTCCTTCCTCTCCTTCCTCTCTTGTTCCTTCTGCCCTCTCCCTTTCTCCTTTCTCTTCCCTCCCTCCTTCCTTCCTCTCCCCTTTCCCCTTCCTTCCTTCCTTCCTCTCCTTCCTCTCTTGTTCCTTCTGCCCTCTCCCTTTCTATCCTTCCTTCCTCTTCCCCTTCCTTCCTTCCTTCCTCTCCCTTCCTCTCTTGTTCCTTCTGCCCTCTCCCTTATCGAAACCTGACAGAGGGGGGATCAGATGCAGATTGCAAAAACAACCTCTCTCCACCCCACCCCACGCCTGCCACGGCCAGTCCGTTGATCCAGAAAGATTGGGGATTGCTGATCTAGCGGTCTAGGTGGAAGTATGGCCATCTGTGCTATAGACAGTGACACAAACTTCCTGATAGGACAATATGGGAGGAGGTTTTGTGAGTCTATGGTAGCAAAACAAACAAACAAACAAACAAACCACCAAACAAAACAAGTAGAAGGAATTTAGGAGCACCTGTTCCAATTAACAAATTTTCATAAGCTTTTGTGATTGGCCGTGTGTGCCTTTTCTTAAAAATTGGTTAGTCCAAAAAAGTGTTGGCCTCTTTTAGGTTTTTGGCGTTAACAGAATAACAGAGTGGGATGGGGCCTTGGAGGTCTTTTAGTCCAACCCCTTTCTCAAAGAGGAAACCCTATATCCGTAATGGCGAACCTAAGCCACAAGCCAAGGTGGCGCAGTGGTTAGGGTGCAGTACTGCAGCTACTTCAGCTGACTGCTAGTTCAGCAGACCAGCGGATCAAATCTCACCGGCTCAAGGTTGACTCAGCCGTCCATCTTTCCGAGGTGGGTAAAATGAGGACCCAGATTGTTGGGGGCAATATGCTATTTAGTATACTGTCTTTGGCGTAAGCCGCCCAGAGTCCTCGGAGAGTGGGCGGCATAGAAATATGACTAATAAATAAATAATAAATAAATAAATAAGGCCTCTTGTGTCCAAAGTGGCACGGGCAGCCATGTCACCTGGCACGCACGGCATTGCCCGTTCCTCTTCTGGGTTTCTGGCGTGCATGCGCACGTGACGATCAGCTGGCCTTTGTGCTTGCATCAGTGCCAGAAACTGGAAGTGCTGGTCTTCCATTTTCTGGCGTGAGCATGTACGCTGGCCAGCTGATCAGCGCGTGCACATGCGGGGCAGTAACCTGAAGACTTGCCAGCAGTAACATGAAGAAACCGCAAGTACATTTTCTGGCATGTGCACGTCCCTGGGCAACTCCTATTCCTGGTCTGGGCCCAGACGAGGCTGCGTGCATGAAGTGCTCCCTTGTCGGCACTTGATACCATATGTGCGTGTGCGCCAGAGGTGGGTTTCAGCAGGTTCTGACCAGTTCTGGAGAACCAGTAGCGGAAATTTTGAGTAGTTCAGAGAACCGGTAGTAAACATTCTGGCTGGCCCCGCCCCCATCTATTCTCTGCCTCCCAAGTCCCAGCGAGATCGGGAGGAAATGGGGATTTTGCAGTAACCTTCCCCTGGAGTGGGGTGGAAATGGAGATTTTGCAGTATCCTTCCCCCGGAGTGGGGTGGAAATGGAGATTTTGCAGTATCCTTCCCCTGGAGTGGGGTGGAAATGGAGATTTTGCAGTATCCTTCCCCTGGAGTGGGGTGGGAATGGAGATTTTGCAGTATCCTTCCCCTGCCACACTCACCAAACCACACCCACAGAACCGGTAGTAAAAAAATTTGAAACCCACCACTGGTGCGTGCTTCCTTTTCAGCCCTCAGTGCCGAAAAGATTCGCCATCACTGGTATATAATATATACACTATTATATAAGAATTGTATACTGTTAAATCAGCCATTTTATGGTGAACGTATCCCAAGACTTTCAAAACATGCCCCGAAAAAGCTTTCTTCCAAAAGACAGCCAAGATGAAAGCTTGGTCAAAGCTACTGTTGGAAGTTTGAGATCAAGAGGGGGAAAAAAAACAAAAACACAAGAACCCTGCTGGTGGCGTAGCAGACTAAAGTGCTGTTAAAGTAGCACCAGCTGCCTGCAATTACTGCGAGTTCAAATCTCACCAGGCTCAAGGTTGACTCAGCCTTCCATCCTTTCGAGGTAGGTAAAATGAGGACCCGGATTGTGGGGGCAATAAACTGACTTTGTATAAAATAGAACTCCGCTTAGGGGGGGCCGAAAGCCCTACTAAGCAGGTATATACAAAAGTATGAAGGCTATTGCTTAATGCATTGTAAGCCGCCCTGAGTCTCCAGAGAAGGGCGGCATATAAATCGAACCAATAAATAAATAAATATCTGAATATCTGAAATAAATATCTTGAATATCTGTATTTGGGGCTTGTGTTTGCCTCAAAGAGTTTGCCATTCGACACACCATGAAATAAGGGGAAGGAATCTAAGAGAAATGTTCCCTATTTCGGTTTTATGACTATGGGAAGTTCTAACGCAGAGACCCCCAAAACGGTTTTGATGTACTATAAATCAGGAATACAGGAGGCAGCTCATTAAAATCCTGTTGTTGGTTTGGGAATTAATGACTTTATAAAAAATATAGAAAAATCAAGGCATCACTGACGTCCTGCTCATTTCAACTCTGATATTGGGAGCATTTAAAAAAAAAAAAAAAGAAAAACGTGTAAGGGTATTTAGGAATATTTTAAGAAACTATTTCTTATTCTTGTATAATTATACAACAATATTCCCTCACGATACCCACTGGATGGTCTGCTATTTAAAGGGTTTTACCTGCTCCTGAAAAAAGAATTATATACTATTAAAGCAGAGCTGGTTGTAAGAAAAAGCACATTTCCTTGATGAAATGAATAATTTACCATGTGTGATTGTTCGCTGCTTTTGGCTTTCAGAGTTGCAGAATTACTGACTTACTGTCTCTTTTGAAAGCAATCATTTATTCGGAGATCTTGATTTTGTTTATTCCTAGCCAAGAAGAGGAAAAAAAAACCTTGGAAATAAAAAGAATTATGTTAACGTTCCAAATACTGACATGAGTCAGTTGCCAAGAGTCTGAATTTTAATCACATGAGTATGGGGATGCCGCGACAGTCATAACTGTGAAAAACCAGCCCGAAGTCACTCCTCCCCCCCCCCAGTATCGTTGTCACTTCAAACAGTCACTAAATGAACGGTTGTAAGCCGAGGACTACCTGTACAAAACGGGAGAAGACTGGAAGTCGCGGTTGAAATTCCACCGAGTACCGTCGGTGGAAATCTTCTGTCAACAAGCGCTCCAGTCTTAAGTTTGCTTTCCGCCGGAGTCTGGAGGACGAAGGAGTCAATGTTTATGTTGAACAAATGAGCCGTACAAAGAACGCCAAGGTTAAATAAGTTTATTGAGTTAGCGGTTATGATGGTCTATTGGACTATCTTGCCGTAATCCAAAGCTACACCTACATATTTGTTTCTAAATTCCGACATGATCTCAGCTCCCATGTCTTTTTTTACACATTCTACCACCGGCTCTATGTCTAATAATATTAATTCGCTATAATTATAATAATACAAAAGGCAATGTCAACCACCATGTTGTGCTTCATACTTCACCAGAAGAAACTCAAGTTTGAAAAAGAAAAACGAGTTTGATTGAAAGAGAGGGGCGAGCGGGCGGGCGGGGGGAAGAAGGGAGAAGGCAATGGCTGAAATTAGAGGAGGATTCGTTGCCGTAACACTATTAGAAATAAAAAAAAGGGGGGGGGGAAGTGAGTTAAAAAGGAAGCATTCATTCCGTGTTTTGTTTCGTTGTTGTTTTTTTTTTAAATCACCGTCTGGGTTAAAAATTCACATACCGTAAATGAAGAGGGCTCAAAATTAAATCGTTTCGTTATTCAGGCCACACAGTCAAGCACATTGGCTAGATTACAAAAGCAACACAAGCTGTTATGGACCCCCCCACACACACTGCACTTTCAAGATTTCCCATCTGCAAATGTTCCTGCCAACCTCCACGTTCCGGGCATGGACAAGCTCTTCCTGCCCTAGAGAAGAGAATATTTGATGCTCGGGGTTGAGCTGTGGGGGTCCTTGGGTTCTCTCCGAGCTCGGTTGTTGTCCTGCAGACGTTTCGTGACCCAATTAGGTAACATCATCAGTGGTAGGGTTTGCTCTCTGTTTATATGTAAGTACCATCATGGTATATTTAAGTACTACCAAGTGCCACCAAGGCCACACCCACCGACCCTGATAGGGCAAGGCTTGCCCTATCAGGGTCGATGGGTGTGGCCTTGGTGATACTTCCTACCAATTCAAACCAGGGGTGGGCTCCTGTGGGTTTGGCAGGGTTCGGGCGATCCTCCAGCCAAGGATCGCCAGAGTTCAGCGAACCCACAAATGCCACCCCTGGCTGGCCACGCCCACCTCACCCCTCCCAAGAGTCTCCATGCGGCCCTTTCATCATTCCAGGTAAGTGCAGGGGCCGCGCGGAGGGTCTGGGAGGGCAAAAAACGGGCCCAACAGAAGTTCCGGAAGTCCGGAAACGGGCCTGTTTCTGGCCTCTGGAGGGCCTACCAATCCTGGGGGAAGCTGTTTTCACTCTCCTGGAGGCTCGAGGAAAGCCTCTGGAGCCTGGGGAGGGCAAAAAAACGGGCCTCCTGGAAGTTCTCTAAGTCCGGAAACGGTCCTGTTTCCGGCCTCCGGAGGGCTTCTGGACCCCGGGGAAAGCAGTTTTTGTCCTCCCGGAGGCTCGAGGAAAGCCTCCGGAATCTAGAGAGGGCAAAAATGCCCCCCCTCACCTTGGTGCAGGTGGCCAACTAGGCCACACCCACCATGGCCACACCCAGCCAGCAACAGGGCAGCGAACCCATTGCTAAAGGATCTGAAGCCTACCCCTGATTCAAACGAACAAGCTAACCTTAAATAACAGCTCAGTCAAGGAACCGCCAAGACCAACATTGACAGGGCAAACAACTCGTATATAAATAGTCAACCCTACTCCATCTAGCACGGATGACGTTACCTAGATTGGTAACGAAACGTCTGCAAGAAAACAACTAAGCTCGGAGAGCACCAAGGACCCCGCACTCGCCATCCCGATCTCTCCTTCCCTATCCCGGTCTTACAATGCAATTTTTTTCCCCTTTACAAAAAAAAAAAGCCTTCTTTAAAAAATAAATAAAGTATAATAAAGCCTTTTTGTTTTGTTTTGTTTTTTCGCTCCTTTAGGAAAGAGACCGGTGAGACAGGCCGCTTGTCAACATATGAAACGCCTGTATGTCTTTTTGGGGGGGGGGGCGGGGAAGGAATACTGCATGATGGCTTAATCGAGTCTCGGTTGCATGCAAAATTGACACTGCTTTATTATCCTGGTTCTGCCCCCAACACCCCCTCCCTTTGCCAGACACATACAAGTTGGCAGGTACGCATACAAAAACATGGAAGGCCATTGAAAAAAAACCCAAAAAACCCCTCGTGGTGAAGCCTTAGAAGGAATCCATCGCTTTGAATTCGCTGAGAGCCTGTACGGGCGAAATGTGTTTCTTTTGGGAACCTCTTCGCACCCTGGTCTGATATTCCTCCGGCTTTTCCCTCTTGACTAACGGTTTCTTTTCCGGAGCTTTCATTTTCCAGGAGACCACCGGTGAGTTGACGGCGGCGGTGCCGTAGACTTTCTGATATTTGGTTGAAGCCACGTAGGAGGCTTTGACGGTCAGCACCACGGCGTTCATCAGGTTTTTAGCAGCTTGGATGAGGGACGTGGCACTGTCCAGCTGGGAAAAAAAAGAGCAGAAAAGATGGGAGGATTAACGTCGGAAAGAGTTCAAAAAGGGCGCGCCGATTGTGGAGGCGACCTAATAACATTGCCAAGGAGAAATATTGCGCATTAAAAAAAAAATTATCTACAGGCTGAAGCTGCTCTTGTGTTAAATACGCAGAGTTCTCAACTTACAATTCGTTTAGGGGCTGTTCGAAGTTACAACGGCACTGAGAAAAGGAAGTTAGGAACTTTTTTCACACTTACGACTGCTGCAGCAACCGCCACGCTCGAACGATCAAAGTTCGGATGCTTGGTAACGTATTTATGACAGTTTGCAGTGTCCCAGGGTCATGGGATCCGCTTTTGCGACCATCTGACAAGCAAAGTCAAGGGGGAAGCCAGATTCCCTTAACAACCGTGCTACTAACTTAACAACTGCGGCGATTCACTTAACAACGGTGGCAAGAAAAGTCGTAAAATGGGGCAAAACCCCCTTAACAAATTGTTCACTTAGCAGCATAAATTTGAGGCTCAATTGTGGACGTAAGTCGAGGACTAACTATACTACAGTTTGATGAGCTGTGGTGGTGCAGTGGTTAGAAGGCAGCATTGCAGGCTAAGTCTGCCCACTGCCGGGAGTTTGATCCTGAACGGCTCAAGGTTGACTCAAACTTCCATCCTTCCGAGGTCATTAAAATGAGGACCCGGATTGTTGGGGGGGCAATATGCTTACTCTGTAAATTGCTTAGAGAGGGCTTTAAAGCACTGTGAAGCGGTACATAAGTCCAAGCGCTATCGCTATTGCTACAATTTTAAAACAAATAGCAAAAATTATCGAGAAAGTGAGAAATCAAAGCACAACTAGAGCTTGATACAAAACTGTTCCGAGTGAACAGAGCAACATGTACAATTGGGATTTTTATACCCAAGATTTTACAAGGTCTGGAGCCAGACATTCATTTAGGAGTTTTTGAGATATTATTGTCTAATAAAGAGTGTTCTCAGTAGCCCTTTTCCAATATTAAAAAAAAAAATGTATTGGGTTTTACATGAGGCATGTCATTCTGCCTGACAATTGGACATTTATGGTCATGGAACTGTTATTGTGCCAATATAACAGGAGTGAGAAGACAGGTTTTTATATCGTACTAGCTGATAACCCGGCGTTGCCCGGATATTTATTTATCACCGGTTCCCCCTCTCTGTGTGTATCTCTCTCTCTCTTCTCTCTCCCCCCTCTCTGTATCTCTCTCTCTCTCTCTGTCTCTCTCCCCCTCTCTCCCCCCCATTCTGTATCTCTCTGTGTCTATCTCTCCCCCGTCTCTGTATCTGTCTCTTTCTCCCCACCTCTGTATCTCTCTCTGTGTCTTCCCCCCCATCTCCCCCTCTCTTTGTATCTCTGCCTGTCTCTCTGCCCCTCTTCTCTGTATCTCTTTCTGGGTGTCTCTCCCCCTCCTCTCTCTGTGTGTGTCTCTCTCTGCCCCCTCTATTTATTTATTTATTAATTTTATTTCTATACCGCCCTTCTCCCGAAGGACTCAGGGCGGTGTAAAGCCTAATTAAAAACACAAAGACAGACAAAATTTAAAAATAATTAAAATTATTAAATGATAGGCCCAATTTATAAAACCCCAAATTTAAAATCCCATTTAAAACCAATTAAAATCTTTACATTGATAGCCCAGCCTGGCGGAACAACAAAGTTTTGTTGTTCTATGTATCTCTATGTATCGCTCTGTGTGTCTCTCTCTCCCTCTCTATCTCCCCCCTTCTGTTACTATGGCAACTCCACTGTGCTGTACAGTAGAAGCCATTTTAAGGTACAACAGGCTGTATCTTAACAGAACACATACCCCGACAAATGTTAGGGGTGTCTTACCCCCACAGCATTTCTTTCCAAAGAGTAAGTCATCTGTGTACCAAGTTTGGTTGAAATTGCTCAAGGCGTTCCAGAGTTATGCTGGAACATACTCTCACACACACATCCATTTATATATGTTACAACGGCCCTGCAAAATGTGATTTATGACTGTTTTTAAGAGTTATGACTTTCGCAGTATCGCCATGATCATGGGATCGAAATTCAGATGCTTGGCAACTGACTCATACTTATGACCTTTGTGTCCCATGGTCATGTGATCCCCTTTTGCGACCTTCTGACCAGCAAAGTCGATGGGGAAGCCACCCGGTTCCTAACATACCAACTGCAGTGATTCACTTAACAGCTGTGGCAAGAAAGGTCGTAAAATGGGGCAAAACCCCCTTAACAAATGTCTTGCTGAAATTTGGGGCTCAGTTGTGATCGTAAGTCGAGGACTGCCTGTATTGTCAAGGTGGTGAAACAGTCCAGAACTGATAATGAATGAAGCTCTCAATGTTGAATGGCTTTTAATACGGTTACTGTTTTGTTTTAACTACATCCTGTATTTATAGGTTGCCTCGACTTACAATCATTCATTTAGTGACCGTTCGAAGTTACAGTGGCACTGAAAAAAAAGTGACTTATGACCCTTGCAGCGTCCCCATAGTCACGTGATTAAAATTCGGTTGCTTGGCAACTGGCATGTATTTAGGACGGTTGCACTGTCCCTGTCAGGGTGGCAATTAATCCCATTCTGCTTTTGGGTAATTGCACCTTGATTAGAGAATGGATCGTGGCTTTTCCCTTGGAGTATACTTTTTAAAGAAAATAAAACCCGAGATATATTCTAATAAATACATTTTATTATAAAGAAAGTAAAAACATCTTACTAGCTAATGATTACATCTTGGCAGCGTTCCTGCCGTGGAGCTGGGCTGGGGCGACGCCTGGCGTGCCCGCAGAGAGGCCTCTTTGTGCCACCTGTGGCACGCGTGCCAGATGGTCCTAGATCGTCGTAGAGCAATCAGAGATTTGCCTGCAGCTCCCAGCCTCCTTCAGAAATGCTTTTGATTTGGTCTACACAGTCAAGAAGAGGGCAACGAGGTATTCCTACACTATATTAACATTTTCTAACGAAAAACCTCTTTATATTGCTTTACTGTCACATGCAAACTAAGCTCCTGAGCTATCTTGTTCACTTAGAATGCCAAGCATCATGAAAAACCTTCAGCTACTTTGTTAAAAATAATTCATTGGCATGTATTTTTCAACTGGTAATTAATTTTTAATCTCCAGATTCAAGGTCACTTTTGCTTTCCCCACCAAAAAAAAAAAAGGCATTTATCTTCCATCTTTTCACTTTAGAAAAAGAAAAAAGAACCAAGTCTGATATATACTGTACATTCAGTCAGCCTAACAGTGACAACATCCCGACTCAGTAACAGTCATAGAGTTTGAAAAGGACCTTGGAGGTCATCTAGTCCAACCCCCTCCTCGGGCAGAACTGTGCTCCATTGTCGGATACCTAGGCTGAAACTGACAAAGCACATCTTAATATTGATAAAATCGGCAAATATCAACTAAATAAGAACTTCATGATATTAAAAGTTCCTCATTTTAATAACAGAGTTTCTCACCCAGATCCTTCACCCGGAAGTCATCACCTTGCCTCCCAAAAGGTAAAGACTGTAAAACCTTGCAAGGTGCCAAGGTACATTTTCTACAGGACCAGGTGCGCTTTCTAGTAATTTCTAGAAGTCAGGCTCAGTTCAGACACTGTACAAAGACTAAAGATCAGGGATGGGGAACCTATGGCACCGGAGCCATCTCTCCGGGCACACCAGCTGTCGCCCATTGCTCTTCCGGGTTTTGGCACACACATGTGCGCCGGCCAGCTGGTCTTCGCATGTGCAGGAATCAGAGGTGGGTTTCAGCAGGTTCTGACCAGTTCTGGAGAACCTGTAGCAGAAATTTTGAGTAGTTCGGAGAACCGGTAAATACCACCTCTGACTGGCCCCGCCCCCATCTATTCTCTGCCTTCCGAGTCCCAGCTGATCAGGAGGAAATGGGGATTTTGCAGTAACCTTCCCCTGCCACGCCCACCAAGCCACACCCACCAAGCAATGCCACGCCCACAGAATCGGTAGTAAATTTTTTTGAAACCCACCACTGTCCTCTATGTTACACAACATACAGTACATATATATTGGAAAAGTACTGTTCCTTTCATCAAAATCACATAATAAAATACAGGTAGTTCTCAATTTATGACCATAATTGAGCACAACATTTCTGTTGTTAAGTGAGACATTTGTTAAGTGAGTTTTGCCCCATTTTACAACCTTTCTTGCCATAGTTGTTAAGGGAATCACTGCGGTTGTTAGTAACACGGTTGTTAAGCGAATTTGGTTTCCCAGTGCCTTTGCTTGACACCAGAACACTGCAACCGTCATAAATATGAATCCATTGCCAAGCATCTGAATTTTGATCACATGACCACGGAGAGGCTACAATGGTCATAAATGCAAAAAACAGTCATAAGTCACTTTTTCAGTGCCATTGTAACTTCGAACTGTCACTAAACAAACTATTGTAAGTCAAGCACTACTCTTAACTCTGTTTAGAATATAACCATGAACACGAAATCTTTGAATTTTGGAAGGTGGTGGTGGAATCTTTTCTTTAAAAACAAAACAAAAAAACTTAATCCACTTAATCACATTTAAAATAATTTACTTATCTGGACATAATGCACATTTAATTCATTAAGATAGATTGCGAGGTAATATAACTGGTCAATCCACAGCTTAGTTACACTCATTTGCATTTTTTCAATTATTAGGAAGAAAACTACTGGGACTCCGAGGCAAAATTAATTGTGTATTTAACCAATTCTGAATTTTAATGCAACCTACCAATGCTATTTTTCTCCTCATAATAGATAACAAACATATCAAAAGCTATAGACAGCTGTTTCGCTAGAAATATATTTTCCCCTTTGAAATGGGATATGAATGCCTCAAAATTGCTCGGCTATTCTAGCCGCAGTGTGTGTGTGTGGAAAATATAAATAAATAAAAAGAGCACAGGGCAATATATATACATTTGCATGGAAAAAGATTCATTTCTTCAATGGGATGATTTAATTGCCT